TTACCTTCAGGCAATAAGGTAGTCTTTTTTTTCTTTCTTCCTTTCCCTTTTGCTTTAAAACTAAAATGTGTGTGCCCTATGAGATCCAGGAATGGTAGAGAATCTTAAGAAGAAGCAATTTACTGAAGCACAGTTGGAAGCCATGTGTCATTACGTTAACAGCGAGGAAATTACCGGAGCCAGCACACCACACTGGCATCAGGGTTGCTGATGGCAGTCTGAAATGGAGTGGCTTGGCTTCCAAAAACCTGAGCTGACCTTTAAATATAAAGTCATGCTGACTCGAAGCCCCAGGCAGTGTTCCAAGCAGCAAGATGCTCTATGGGTACCAGCCACAGTGGTAGTTTCAAAACCAACTATAATTTTGGGAGGTCACCGGCCACACTGTTGCCGTCTTCAAATATTTTTTGCAAAAGAAATGACACTAGGATAAACCAGACAAAAAATAAAGACCTCTGTTACTGTCATTTAAATAGTATAATCATGAAACACCTCAACTGCAAAAGCAGAAAAGTGCTGTCTTATTGATGCAGAACTACAACGAAGTTACAGTTTTAAGTTTCCAAAGACTGGGATTAGGGATCCATGTGAGCTTGTTTCTTTTGGATAGTATCAACAAACCATTAGATTCGACACCACCCCACAAAACACACATGCAAATCTCAGGCCTACAACAAACATACTGGCACAAAATCCCCAATTACCTGTGAAGTAAAAAAGCCAGGACAGATAATGGGTATGTCTAGGAGTATCACAGAGCTCAGGGGGCTGGGCTGCCCCTTTTCCAGAGTAGAGGCTTGGCATAGACATTGGGCTTCGTGTGACTCACTGCACACTGAGACTCCAACAGAAATTCAGTCTATGGTTGAGGTTAGTTATCCACAAACATTAAAAATTGAAGCAAGCAAGGGGAATCAATATTCAGTAACTAAGAACCAAGAAATCAGAGTGAAAATTTGTAGGGAAAAACATATATTATATGTGATGATGGGTGTTTTGAAAAAAATCCAGCATTGACTTGTTAAGCCTATATAGCAGCTATTTTTTCCTTCTTAAAGCATATTTTTAATATTCTTTTGTGCAAGGAAAGTTGAGACAGATGCTACAGTATCCTGGCTGGAGAGTAAAAACAGCATCTACTTTATAATAATATAGTTTAAAGTTCTTATCACTTTATTGCATAACATCAAAAACAAAATAGGTTCAAGATTCCCTGTAATAGCAAAGAAAACAAAAATATAACAGTTGTTTAGCTATAATATTAAGCAGCACCAGTATACAATATACACTTGGTAGTGGTAAACTTTGTAAAAATGTACTTCTTCCTGTGTAGGGAGCTGACTCAGAGTAATACATTAACTTTAAAGTTAGTCTAAAAATTTGATCAGAAGGCAGAAATTGCCGGGTGAGGTGGCTCATGCCTGTAATCCCAGCACTTTGGGAGGCTGAGGCAGATGGATCACCTGAGGTCAGGAGTTTGAGACGAGCCTGGCCAACATGGTAAAAACCTGTCTCTACTAAAAATACAACAAATTATCTGGGCATGGTGACACACACATGTAATCCCAGCTACTCAGAAGGCCAAGGCAGAAGAATCCTCTAAACCCGAGAGTTAGGGATCACAGTGAGCCAAGACAGGGCCACTGCACTACAGCCTGGGTGATAGAGTGAGACCCCGTCTCAAAAAAAAAAAAGGATGTATCAATGTGTTCTCTGGTTCTTGTAGGAAAACAAGAACCAAAAGGGACCTCTGGTGCATATAAATAACATCAGATGAAATCACTATTAAAAGAAGTTTCTAGACATAAGAGGAATATTTTATTATGATAAAAGGTTATACCCGTTGGGAATTAGAAGGATGTATGCACCTAAAAACAAAGCCCTAAAATTCATGAGGCAAATAGACATAATTGAGGAAAAAAATACACAATTTAGCAATAATAATCAAATATTTCAATACTTCACTTTTAATAATGGATAGAAACAACAAGGCAGGATATCAACAAAGATCTGTAAAACTTACAAAATTCTATAGAGCAACTAGAACTAACAGACATTAATAGTACACTCCATTCAACAAGAGCATAATACATCTTATTTTAAAGCACACATGGAACATTCTCCAGGACAGACCACGTGCTCAGCAATCAAACAAGCCTCGCCTGGAGCAGGGTGTCTCTAATCCAGAGACTGAAGGAGACTGATCCCTGGAGCTCAGGAGTAGGAGACTGATCCCTGGAGCCCAGGAGTAGGAGACCAGCCTGGGAAACATAGTCAGATTTCATCTCTAAAAAGTAAAATGACATTTAAAAAGTTAAAAAAAAAAAAGTCTTCAGTAAATTTAAAATGACGAAATCATACAAAATACTATTTTTTTTTTTTTTTTTTTTTACAGTTTTTATCCTTTGACCAACCATCTACTCCTCCCCGCATCCTCTCAGTCAGTCCCTGGTAATCACCATTCTCCTTCACTTCTGAGTTCGACTCTGTAGATTACACGTATCAGTAAAAGTATGCAGCATTTGTCTTTC